GGATTGGGATAATATTTTCTTTGAGATTTGTTTTGTGTTTCTGCATAGTATTTTTAAATGCTTTCTCTACTGTGCTTGCCATTTACAAAGCTGGCTTTGTCTAACTATGGATTTTGCTGTGTATATCTTGTTTTTTCTACCTGTTGGCCCCCTTGTAAACATTGACAGCAATCTTCTGAACCAGGCTGAGGCCTACTCAAGTGTGGACAGACATGTTTCCCTTATCTTGTTGTTGCTTCACTTTTCTGCTTCTCTGCCCTAGACTAGGATTGTGTGTGTTTTCTCAGACAGCTGGATGCTTCACAGGGAATGGTTCCCCCTCCCTGTCACCAGGGCAATTCTCTTTCACATCTCCCAGGACAGATGGAGAATATAGATATTAATAATTCACAATATGTATCTAAGTGGTGATCTCCTAGACTGAGACATCCTTGCATTTCTTTCAAAATAAAAATAAATAACTCATTTGATAAAGAGAGGCTCAGTGATGAGCTGGGAGTTAGAATGAAGAATAGGAAAACTGGCATAAAAAATTCATAAAAAAGATTTAATTTTGTTGGCAGTCATCAGCCCAGGAACCTTTTAAGTGCTCCTCGTAGTGACTAATGTTTGGATAGTGGATCAGGAGAAATATTATTTACTTGTATTTATGTTCAAGTGATCTGTAGGACTCAAGAGGTCCTGTTTGAATTTGTATTCATAATCAAGCTTATAATCAGCCCCTTGATTGCTGCTAGGAAAAAGAAGTCGGGATGCAGTCTGAAGTAACCTTAATGTCCTCTCAGAAGAGAAAATGAATATTCGTTGCATCTCTTGGTTTTAGACAGATAAAGCTGTGTCCCATTAGCAGTAGAAATGATGTCTGGAACCCCCAGTCTAATCTGATTTCCTTAAATATAAGCAGTAAGCAACTGCATTTGGAGGGTAGTGTTCTTAAAAACAAAACAAAACTAAACTAAAAAAACTTTATGTATTTGAAAGGCCAGGTGACAGAGAGGGAGAGAAATCTTCCATTCTCTGGTTCACTCCCCAAATAGCTCCAACAGCCAGGGCTGGGCCAGGCTGAAGCCAAGAGCTAGGAACTCCATCTGAGACTCCCATGTTGGTGCAGGTGCCCAAGTACTTGGACCATCTGCATTAGCAGGTACATTAGCAGGGAGCGGGATTGGAAGAGAAGCAGCTGGGACTTGAACCAGTGCCTGTCTGGAATCCCAGCACTGCAGGTGGCAGCTTAACCCACTGAACCATAGTGCTGGCCCTGGGAGTAGTGTTCTTTTAATAATGATTATGTGTGCTTTGGTTAGGGTGATGGCTCCAGTTGAAGAATGGTGGGATTCCATCTGTTTTGAATCAACCGAATGGTTTTATTCCTTAAAATTAACTCTTTCTGTTACAGTTTGTAATTATGCTGCTGTGTATGTATTTGAAAAGTACTTAGCATGTTAGAAATATAGTTTTGAAATGACCTAAAATATTTACCTCCTTAGTTTTAGTTTTGGGACACTGTCCTTGCAACTTCCCCTTTTTTTCTCTTTCATAAGTGAAGCCAGTAGTTACAAAAATACCTAAAGCTTTTTCTGTCATTTTTCTTTGGGAGAGCTGTTAAGTTCAAAATCTCAGGATTTCACATGTTGTTTTCATAGTGCAATTTAACATATAGTCCTAGTATGTTATGAATTCTAAAATATTAAACAGGAATACTTTAAAAACTATTGAAAGGATTTTTTAAACCCTACCATCAATATAACCTGATTAAAGAACTCTACTTATAGGGATTTTCAGCTATGGTTTTTTTCCCCCATATTTCCCTTCTTTTTCCTAATATAGCTTATTAGCTTTTAGTCAGACTATGTATAAATAAATAATTTTCCTTTGTCTTAGAAGTGCATTCATTTGATAGCTCCATGGAGCACACTTTTAATGTTAATCAAACCCTGTGTTTCCTTTCTAATGGATGTAATAAAGATAAGTGCTTCATTCATAGATTTACGGGCATAAATCTAAAGCTCTGTGAGCTGAATTGTTTATCATGTAATGCTCTGATTTTCCTTTTCCATTAACAAATCTCTTTAGAAAATATTGAGTTATTGGGAAACTATTGCTGCTTCTTATTTTGCTAACACCAAGAAATGCATCTTCTCTGGACATTCCTAAACTTGAACTGAGTAAAAGGTCAGACCTGGCTAGTAATCAACATAAAATTTCTATCAGAGAAAGATCCATGCAGAAATTGGATTGGTATGAAAGAAAATGTGATAAATTCGCTGACACTCTTGTGTTGTTGAGTAATAGAATTTCATTGTTCAACTTTAATCAACTGCTAGTTTAATCAAAATAGAAAATGAGTTGCTGTGAGTGAAGGAATTATACTAGGTATTTTGTAATAGGGTATTATTTTTCCTTCTGAGTAATATGGTTATTGTTTTTCTGTTCTGTACTTTGAAATTCATGAGCTTGCAATCGGACTTACCCCTAATAGTAGAGTTAGAAACATGCCAGGAGATTCCAATTCAATCCCATCAAGGTGGCATGTACCAATACCATCTCACTAGGCAAAGTGATCAGTTTAAGTTCATAATTGATCATAATGATAGGATTAAATGTCAAAGGGATCACATAATCAAGACTAGTGTCTGCTAATACTAACTGATGGAATTAAAAAGGAGAGAATGATCCAACATGGGAAGCAGGATACACAGCAGATTCATAGAATGGCAGATGTCCTAAACAGCACTCTACTTCAGAAGTCAGCCCTTATCCTTAAGACATTTGTATCTGGCTAAAAGCCCATGAGAGTATTTCAGCCATGAAAAGCTAAGACACTGTGCCAAATATACAAATATCAAATTAAAAATATAATAGAAAGAAGATCTTTGTAAGTAAGATCCCAGTGGAAAAGAACGGGCCATCAAAGAAGGAGGTACCTTTCTCTGAAGGGATGCGAGAACTTCCACTTTAACTATGGCCTTGTCTAAATAAGATCGGAGTTGATGAACTCAAGAGGCTTCCATAGTCTTGGCAGCTCATGACAAGAGCCTCAGGTGATCACTGATGTCATGAATAAGAGTGTCAGTTGTTAAATCAACAATAGGAGTCACTGTGCACTTACTCCCCTTGTAGGATCTCTGTCCTTAATGTGTTGTACTATGTGAATTAACAGTATAACTAGTACTCAAGCAGTACATTATACTTTGTGTTTCTGTATGGGTACAAACTGTTGAAATCTTTACTTAGTATATACTAAATTGATCTTCTGTATATGAAGATAATTGAAAATGAATCTTGATGAAGAATGGGAAGGGAGAAGGAGTAGGAGATGGGATGGTTTGCAGGTGGGAGGGAGGTTATGGGTGGGGGGAGCCGCTATAGTCCAAAAGTTGTATTTTGGAAATTTATATTTATTAAATAAAAGTTAAAAGAAATTCATGAGCTTGGAGAAAAGGAGAAGTTTTTCAAGATATTATATAATAATACAGGTTTATAAATATGTTTTCATACATGACTGGCGATGAATCAGGTATCTTCATGCCATCGAAGCTAGGTGGGGTGCTGGATGGGTGGTGTGAGGAGCAGAAGGCTTCTCTCCTTATCAGGGCTTTCCTTTCCATGTGACCTCTTCACAGGTCTGTCCTGTGTCCAGCAGGGTAGCCAACTCCCAGAAGCAAGCATTCCAAGAGAGAGGAAGCAACAGCTGCCAATCTCTTTAAAGATGAGGCCTGGATCTGGCATGTGGCATAGCAGGTAAAGTCCCTGCCTGCAGTACCGACATCCCATATGGGTACCAGTTCAAGTCCTGGCTGCTCTACTTCCAATCCAGCTCTCTGCTATGGCCTGGGAGGGCAGTGGAAGATGGCCCAAGTGCTTGGGCCCTTGCACCCACATGGGAGACCCAGAGGAAGCTCCTGGCTCTTGGCTTCAGATTGGCGTAGCTCCAGCTGTTGAAGCCAGTTGGGGAGTGAGACAGTGGATGGAAGACTTTTCTCTCTCTCTGCCTCTCCTCTCTCTCTGAATAATTCTGACTTTCAAATAAATAAATAAATCTTTAAAAAAAAAAAAAAAAAAAGATGAGGCCTGGGTCTGGCATGGTGTAACTTCCACTGCATTCTATTTGCTAATGCAAGGTATAGGCCTACTCATTTTCAAACTGGGGGAGGACAAGGACATGAGGTTGGGTTCCATGGAGCTATTTTTAGAGATGCACCTCATTGCTTCATTAATTTAGATAGCTGATGTTATACAAGTGTATAATGGCACCAACAAGGTTGTGGAAAAGTGGAATTACAAGATAATGTACAAATATTTCCCAAGAACTGTTTGAAGATGCTTCTCATGTGTTATTCAGTTTAAGTTTGAATTCTAGGAGCAGTCAGCTGCACTAACCAAGACTCTATATGAAGTCCACCAGCATTGTATAAGAAAGACAATGCTACACGGGCTGCCACTATAGTACTTCAGCTATGCAAGTCTTGGTCACAGCTAGGTCAGGCAGTGTCACATTGCTTGGTGGGGAAAGGGTATCAGGCCCACAGACACAGTGAGACTTCCCCAGGCAGAGTTTGGTGTGATTGTGTCCCTCTTACTAGTTCTGTACATGCTGGCACTCCTCCCCAGTGTCTCCGGGGATGGACCAGGGGAGTCTTAGACACTGAAGAGAAGGAGAATGTTTCCCTGGGTCGGTTACTTTTCAGGGGTGAGGGGAGCAGGGAAAGCTCTGCCTTTGAATGAATCCTCCTTGCTGGTAGTGCTAGATCAAATCCATATGGACTACTGTCGTGAGAGGAGCCTCAGAGATCCTCAGGTCCAACCTCTACTCCATGGACCCCACGAACTTGATCCTCTCTCACTTCTCGGGCATATTTCTCAGTAAGCTAGAAACAGAACTCTGCTTCCACAGCCCCTTCCCCACAGTGTACCAGAAATAATACTTAGAGACTGCCTTCTTGAGTCCGGCTGTCTCCCAGATTTTATTTGTCCTGACTTTCATCAGGTTGTTGTTGCAGAACGTGCCAGTAGAAGCATCCAGCAACTGAAATGTGTGCTGAAAGAAAGTGATGGTGCGATTGGAGAAGATGCCCTGGACCCAGCCCCTAGCATCAGTGCAGGAAACGAGGGCACCGAGGCAGCCTTGCATGAACTGCAACACTGTCATGCTGGTGAGTGTGAATGTCAGCCCTAGTCTGTGTGACATACAGCAAATGCTTTCTTTGTTTTAAAGATTTCTTTATTTGTTTGTTTATTTGAAAGTCAGGGTTACGGAGAGACAGGGAGGAAGGGAGAATCTTCCATCCACTTCCCCAAGTGGCCACAATGACCAGGGCTGAGCCAGATAGACAGGAGCTTCATCTGGGTCTCCTGTGTAGGTACAAGGACCCAAACACTTGAGCCATCTTTCACTGCTCTCCCAGGTGCATTAGCAGGGAACTGGATCAGAAGTGGAGCAGCTGGGATGTGAACCAGCACCCATAAGGCTTGCCAATGTTGCAAGTGACTCCTTTACCTGCTATGCCATGATGCCAGCCCCATAGTGAATTCTTTAAACTTCATAGAATAAGGACTCTAGTCTGTCCCATTCTGCTTTTAGGATGTTATTCTTGAAATAGATAATATACAAAAAAAAAAGAAGAAGAAGAAGAAATTATCAATTCTCAACTTGACTCTCACTGGGATTAAACATGACAATAGGTCTGATCTGATTTCATCATCATTTAAAAAATCATCTATTATTTTTCACTTTATGTTTCTGTGTGGGAGCAAACTGTTGAAATCTTTACTTAATGTATGCTAAACTGATCTTCTGTATATAAAGAGAATCGAAAATGAATCTTGTGTGAATGGAAGGGGCTGGGGTGGAAAAAGGGGAGGGTTGTGGGTGGGAGGGATGTTATGGGGGGGAAGCCATTGTAATCCATAAGCCGTACTTTGGAAATTTATATTCATTAAATAAAAGTTAAAAAAAAGAAATAGATAATATACAAGGATGCTTCAAAAAGTTCATGGCAATGAAATAAATATATTTTGGTGCAAATTTTGAAATCCATGCATATGAGGGTCTTCAGAAAGTTCTTGGAAAAAGCATATTATGAAAAAAACTTCATGGATTTTAAGTTTTATACAAAATAATCTTTTAATACAATTTTCCATGATATTTGTAAAGTACTCTTATAATTCCCTTGTTTAATTTTTCTTTTGACTTTCTAACACCTTTATGCTAAAGTCTGAAATTCTTAGAACAAGATAACATTTTCCTGTGATAACTCCAACCTCCCTCCATAGTCTCATTTTTCTATTCTCATTTTACTCATTGATCTCTTGAGCCATGTGCTCCTTATTCCAACCCTCTGGCTGTGTTTCTATGCTTTTATGTGCAATGCCTTTTCTCACCCTTTTCTGCTTGGTGATCTCCATTCATTCCTTAAGTGTTATCTTCTCTCTGAAAATAGACACAATCAAGTGCTTCCTCTTTTTGTAGCGCTATTCATATCTCTAGGTCTATATATAAATTACTATGCTGTTTTATATCAGTGTATCCCTCTTGCTTATTGAATTCATAGCTCTTAAGGAATAGAGGCTGTTGTTGTTTATTTATTTATTTATTCTTTTTGTATAACCAGTCAGTAGCACAGTTCTTGGTGTATAATATATGTTTAGGCACTGTGTGTTGAATGGATGAGTGTACTAAAACATGGATGTCAGATAGGTTAATAAGCTCGTTTTTGCTCTTCAGTTATTCAGCTCAAGGCATTGTTGCACCAACAAGAAAGTAAAGAAAGTGAGGCATCTTCATTACGAAAACAAAAAATGTCCCCTTTGGTAAGTGTCAACTTTTGCAAAAGAGAAAATGAAAAGCAGTCATCTTCTGTCTCTGTTTTACTTTGTACTGTCATCTTAGTAGCACATGTTGAAGGAATATTCTAAGTAAGGCATGCTAATAGTGTAAGGCATTAAAAGAAAGTCTCTTGCCTCTGATTATTTAGGCTGAAGAATAGAGACTTCCATAATAAAGGAATCTTAATATTTTAGACTTATTATTCACTTGAAAGTATGAGCAAGAGAACAGTTTGGAGAATTTATTTTGCAGCTGTTAGCAAATATGTAAAAGGAACAATAATGTAAAATATAATGTTGTAGTAATTTCTGTTTTAGAGGGTTATATCTGTATTTGATCATTTTTATATTTAAACAATTAAAATTATAGCCCTCCTTTATAACATTTTTGGATTTTGAATATCAAAACTCAAGTATGTGGCCAGCGCCGTGGCTTAATAGGCTAATCCTCTGCCTTGCAGCGCCGGCACACCAGGTTCTAGTCCCAGTCGGGGCGCCGGATTCTGTCCCGGTTGCCCCTCTTCCAGGCCAGCTCTCTGTTATGGCCTGGGAGTGCAGTGGAGGATGGCCCAAGTCCTTGGGCCCTGCACCCCATGGGAGACCGGAGAAGCACCTGGCTCCTGGCTTCGGATCAGCGCAGTGCACCGGCCACAGTGTGCTGGCCGCGGTGGCCATTGGAGGGTGAACCAATGGCAAAAGGAAGACCTTTCTCTCTGTCTCTCTCTCTCTCACTGTCCACTCTGCCTGTCAAAAAACAAACAAACAAACAAACAAAAACTCAAGTATGTAACATTATTCTACATGTTAAAGTATTATAAAGTATTCTACATGTTAAAGATTATAAAATTGTATAACATGAAAAGTTACATTCTGCTTCTGAAGTTGTTTTGATTTCATTAGACTAAATATGTTATTCCTAATTAGAGCATTATTTTTCATTCTGTCTCACCTAAAGGCTGTGATAGGTGTGAGGGAAAGAACTCTGGATCATGCTTACATGACCAGAGTAATAGCCTAGCCCTAAGGTCTGTGTATGTGTGTTTCTCACAGAGTTTTTGCAATAAGTAGATAAGCTTGTATACTTATAATTCTTTTTACACCTATGAAGCATGTTATAAATATAACATGTCATAGCAGAAGTAACCATCTTATATTTTCAATGTGTATGGTAGTTGAATACCCACATGCTGATAACTATTGAGACATGTTGCTTTCTTTTATTCATACCTGCAATGTTGTAATAGTTCCCACATATTAACACTTCATTTCAGCCTCACACATTCTTTTCATGCTTAATTTCCACTTTAGATAAATATACTTCCTATTCATATTTAATATTTATGGATATAGATTGTAATTATATCAAAACATGTTATTCAGTGAATTTATTACTGTTGATAGCTAGTTTATACAGTGCTCTTCAGCATGCAGAGGAGTGCTTTTGATTTTGTTAGACAAAGTTTTTCTATCTGTTGAATATGCTTATTAGCTTTTTAAATTAAAACTTGATTATGATACTACAGAGCTTATTCAATGAGAATAGACATAAAGACATTCATCAAGAGCATCAAGTTTAGTACATATGTAGTCTATGAAACGTGCACGGAACTATGTAAAAGACTGGATCTTTATATAGACTACACAGAATGATTGTAAGTCATAATAATGGGTCAGTTTTTAGGATTTATACCCTTTGAATGCATTTTCATAGTCAATGGGGCATATCAGAAAGATGTGGGTATTTTGAAAGTGAAACTTAGGCACTGTTTAGATGGAAAACATATCCAAGTCTTATGTGGCTAATTCAAGCTATAATAAACCTTTCCAAGTATGTACAAATAGTACATGTGAACATTCTTTATACAATATAAAAGTTTTTTATTTTCCCCATTATTTTCTCCATATATGCACAGCAATATTTAATTCACATTTGCCTACTTTCTATTTTTATTAAATATATAAAATGATTACAATTCATTGCTTTCTACTCACCACAGATAGTTCATTTAATTAAAGTTACTTGTGTTTTCAAATTTCTTAAGTTTACCAATGGCAAAGCTATATATATTTTTTTTGACAGGCAGAATGGACAGTGAGAGAGAGAGACAAAAAGGTCTTCTTTATCCATTGGTTTACCCCGCAATGGCCACTATGGCTGGTGTGCTGTGGCTGGCCCACCGCGCCAATCCGAAGCCAGGAGCCAGGTGCCTCTCCTGGTCTCCCATGTGGGTGCAGGACCCAAGCACTTGGGCCATCCTCCACTGCACTCCCTGGCCACAGCAAAGAGCTGGACTGGAAAAGGGGCAACTGGGACAAATGATTGCTATGAGAGCCAGTACTGTACTCCATTATTGGTAGGATTTCTGCTGGACTGAGAAACAGAATGACAAAAAGACTGTATTCTCTCAAGCTTTCCTCTGTATTTGTTTAACTGGTTGATCCTCATTTCCCCTTTTCTTGATTTCCTCATCTTTGTGTTTTTTTGCTTTTTAAGATTTTATTTATTTATTTAAGAGGTAGAGTTACCGACAGAGAGAGGGAGAGACAGAGAAAAAGATCTTCCATCCACTAGTTCACTTCCCAAATGGCCGTAACAGCTGGAGCTGGGCCATTCTGAAGCCAGGAGCCACAAGCTTCTTCCAGGTCTCCCATATGGGTACAGGGTCCCCAGGACCTGAGCCATCCTCTACTGCTTTCCCAGGCACATTAGCAGGGAGCTGTATCACAAGTGGAGCAGCTGGGACATGAACCAGTGCCTGTATGGGATGCCAGTGCCACAGGTGGAGGCTTAGCCTACTATGCCACAGCACCAGTCCCTGTATTTTTTCAATATCATGACATGGCATTTAATGTTATAAACCATTTCACAATTATTTTAATATAAAGTAATAATGCATTCAAAGTCAGTTCCAGGAACACTGCAAAGCTAAATAGCATTACTACCTTTTCAGAAATTTCTTGGTGTAGTGTGTCACTTAGTTCTGTATACCTCTTCTTTAGGACTCTATGCTTGGAGGTTCTGTGCTCTAGAACAGCATAGATTCAAATTGCCTTGTACTATGTTAAAAAAAAAAAATCCAAAACATGGTTTTCTTTTTTTTTATTTTTTTTTTAATTTTTTTTTGACAGGCAGAGTGGACAGTGAGAGAGAGACAGAGAGAAAGGTTTTCCTTTGCCGTTGGTTCACCCCATAATGGCCACTGCGGCCGGCGCACCACACTGATCTGAAGCCAGGAGCCAGGTGCTTCTCCTGGTCTCCCATGCAGGTGCTTGGGCCATTCTCCACTGCACTCGCTGGCCACAGCAGAGGGCTGGCCTGGAAGAGGAGCAACTCGGACAGAATCCGGTGACCTGACTGGGACTAGAACCTGGTGTGCTGGCGCCGCAGACTTTTTTTGACACAGAACTGGCATCAAACACTTGACCTGAAGAATCTCTTTTTCAGGGAGTTCATCTACAGTTTTAGGTATCAATCTTCCATGGCAGTTTCTTAGACACAGTTTTCCCTTCTATCTCATTAGTGAATGGGATGTCACAGTTTCAGACAGTTCAAATAGGCATTTTATTCTAAACCAGTTATACCACCCCAACCTTTTTCCTTTTGTATATGCTTTTTATAACCACTTATACGTTCTATCTTTAAAAAACAAGAAGCAAATCCCTGAATCTTGTGTATCTGTGGAGTATATAGGATAGAGAAATAAATGCTATTAGCTATATTGGTACCTATTCCATATGTATATCACATCATGCTAATTTGAATATGGAGATGATATCAACTGATTCTTTGCTGTAACTGAACATGATTAATTTGGCTTTTTTATCTTAGAGATCATCAGAATATGAGGAAACCAGTATACCTACAGTGCAAAACCTTGTACCTATCATTAATGACCAATCTCAGTACATTCATCATTTAGAGGCAGAAGTTAAATTCTGCAAGGTAAGTTTCTCATTAAGAATTTAAAACTAGCTACCAACAATGTGACACAATGGGGTAAGCAAGTGACACTGGCACTGGAAATCCAAAGTGACTATTCAGGTCTCTTCTCCTCTGCTTCTGGTCCAGCTCCTTGCTAATGTGCTTAGGGGAGCAGCAGATAATGGTACAAGTATTTGGGTCCCTGCTGCCTATGTGGAATACTTGGATAGTATGCCAGGCTCCTGACTTTGGCCTAGCCCAGCTCCTGTCCTTCTGGCAATTTAGAGTGAACCAGCAAATTGAAGATCTCTCTTTCTCTGTCACTCTACCTTTCAAATGAATGAATGAATGAGTGAATCTAAACCTAAAGTATTTATCTGATAGAGGGAAATTAAGATGGTGGGTAGGGAGGAAGCATTCTGCTCTAGTCTAGGAGAAGATAGTTTGAAAAAAGTGAAGAGAGTACAATCTCAGGCAAGAGTTAGGGAGAAAATAGCAGAGGAAATTATAGCAGACCAAACCCAAAACCAGTAGGAGAAAAGAAATAATTAAAACTAGAGATGAAATCAACAAAAGTGAAACCAAAAAACAATACAGAAGATCAGCAAAATGAAGAGCTGGTTTTTTGAAAAGATAAACAAAATTGACACCAATGGCCCAACTAACCAAAAAAAAAAAAAAAAAAAAGAGGAGAGAGATGACACAAATCAATAAAATTAGAGACGAAAAAGGAGATATAAGAACAGATACCACAGAAATAAAAAGAATCATCAGAAATTACTACAAAGAGCTGTATGCCAACAAACTGGGAAACCCAAAAGAAATCGATAGATTCCTGGACACATACAACCTATTTAAATTGAGACATGAAGACATAGTAAACCTAAACAGGCCTATTACCAAATTGGAAATTGAATCAGTAATAAAGACCTTCCCAATAGATGAACCTGGAAAACATCATACTTTGTGAAATAAGCCAGTCTTAAAGGGACAAATACTATATTTTCTCCTTGATCTGCGATAACTAAGAGAGCAACTAGAAGGGAAGCTGTAGAAGTGAAATTGACACTTTGAGAAGCAATGACTTGAACTGTCCTGTCTTGACTGTCAAGGAACAGTTTTTCTTTTTTCTCTTCTTCATACTATTTTTTTTTTAATAGGCAGAGTTACACAGTGAGAGAGAGACAGAGAGAAAGGTCTTCCTTCCATTGGTTCACCCCCCAAATGGCCGCTACGGCTGGCGCGCTGCAGCCGGCACACTGCGCTGATCCAAAGCCAGGAGCCAGGTGCTTCCTCCTGGTCTCCCATGTGGGTGCAGGGCCCAAGCACTTGGGCCATCTTCCACTGCCTTCCCGGGCCAGAGCAGAGAGCTGGACTGGAAGAACAGCAACTGGGATAGGATCCAGCGCCCCAACTGGGACTAGAACCCGGTGTGCTGGCGCCACAGGTGGAGGATTAGCCAAGTGAGCCGCAGCGCCAGCCTCTTCGTACTATTTGTTGAACTCTTTACTTAACATAGAGTTAATCATATGTGTCTAAAGTCAATTGAAAATATATCTCAGTAAAAATAAAAGAGTGGGAATAAGGGAGGGAGGAGGAAGTTTGTAACTGTAAAGCTGTATAGTTCTGCATACATTCCTACAGACTTTTTTTTTTTTTAAAGATTTATTTATTTATTTGAAAGTCAGAGTTAACAGAGAGAGGAGAGGCAGAGAGAGAGGTCTTCCATCCGCTGGTTCACCAACCCAGATGGCCACAACAGCTGGAGGGAGCTGCGCAGATCCAAAGCCAGGAGCCGGGAGATTCTTCTGGGTCTCTCACGCGGATGCAGGGGGCCCAAGGACTTGGGCTTCTACTACTGCTTTCCCAGGCCATAGCAGAGAGCTGGATCAGAAGTGGAGCAGCTGGGACTCAAACCAGCACCCATATGGGATTCTGGCACTGTAGGCGGCTTCCTTTCCTGCTATGCCACAGTGCCAGCCCCAAGGATTTACTTCTAAGGGCACAGTTTATAAACTTGCCGTGGAACCACAAATCCCATTAAACTGGGTGTTAAAAATGCCACCTTAAGTGTTAAAATGACCATATTCAGTGTTAAAGTGCTCATATAGATAGGATTAAGTGTTAAAGGGATCATATAAATAAGATCAAATGTCTGGTAATAATAATAGAATTAAAAAGGAGAGAATGTTCCTACATGGGAAGCCATCCACACAGCAGACTCATAGAAGTACAATTGCTTGATCATGTGATAAAGACATGTGTAGCTATGTAATAAACTGCCAGACTCTTTTCTGAAGTGATTATACCATTTTTCTTTCCCACCAGCATTAAGAGTTCCCAATACTCTGTGTATCCTAGCCAGCATTTGTTGTGGGTTGTATTTTAGATTTTAACTGTTCTAATTGGTAGGCAGTGTTATATTCTTATTTTAATTTCAATTCTCTGATGATATGATGTTGACCATCTTTTCATATTTTTACCTGTCATCTATATGTCTTATTTTGTAAGTTGTCTGTTCAGATATTTAACTCTGCTTTTCAACATTTAATTTCAGAATAGTTTTAAATTTAGAAAACAAAAATTGTGAGGTGATAACTATAAGGAGTTACATATAGCCCTCACCGAATTCCTCTGTTAACATCTTATATTAGGACATTTGGCAGAATTAATAAGACACACCCAGATTCCCCTACCCATTTTTAAAATCAGATTATTTGTTTTCTAATTGTTGAATTTCAAGAATTCCTTATGTATTTTGAATGATAGTCCTTTCTGAAACATGGCTTTTACAAATATTTTCTCCTATTTGGTGGCTTGTCTTTTGTTTTTCTTAATGGTGTATTTTGGGGCTGGTGCTGTGAGGTAATAGCTTAAGCCTCCACCTGCAGTGCTGGCATCCCATATGGGTGCATGGTTTTTAACTTTTATAATGGTGTATAATTTTTATTTTACACTTAAGTCTGTATTCCATGTTGAATTCATCTTTATGTTAGTGGTAAAATCTGTCTCTAGAATCACTTTTTTTTTTCTTTTTTGCATGTGGGCATCCATTTGTTCCACTACCATTTTTGAAAAGACTGTGTCCATTGAGTTGCCCATGTTCCATTGTTAAAAGTTATTTGACTATATTTTTGTAGGTCTACTTTTGGGCTGTCTATTCTGTTTTAGTATTCTGTTACTTGTCTATTCTTTTTTTTTGACAGGCAGAGTGGACAGTGAGAGAGAGAGACAGAGAGAAAGGTCTTCCTGTGCCGTTGGTTCACCCTCCAATGGCCGCCGCGGCTGGCGCGCTGCGGCCAGCGCACCACGCTGATCCGATGGCAGGAGCCAGGTACTTATCCTGGTTTCCCATGGGGTGCAGGACCCAAGTACTTGGGCCATCCTCCACTGCACTCCCTGGCCACAGCAGAAAGCTGGCCTGGAAGAGGGGCAACCGGGATAGAATCCGGCGCCCCGACCGGGACTAGAACCTGGTGTGCCGGCGCTGCAAGGCGGAGGATTAGCCTAGTGAGCCACAGCGCCGGCCACTTGTCTATTCTTTTGCTAGTATCACAACATCTTTATTTCTGTAGTTTTATATCTCATGGTCTCCCTTTATTTAGTCCTATATCAGTTTTCAACAAGTTACTGGCATTCGATCACTAGTGATAACATATCTTACCTTATTTTTCAGCAATCTCCCTTATTTTTAAAAATCTTTTAGATAATCCCTTTAATTAATGCTTTTCTGTGAGCCTCTATCTCTTGGAGAAAAAAATGGTCAGAAACTACATTTTGTGAATGACCATCTGCAGGCTGTCTCTTTGTTGACTAGTATGTGCATTGCCTTGTTTGTCTGAATGTGATTTTATATTTAAGGAAATGGTTAGAGAATGTAAGTCTTCCCTAGTTAATATTATGCTTGATTCTCTCTTAATCAACAAATAAAAGCACTGCTTAAAAATGTTTAACTTTCTTCATTTCTCATTTTTATAGGAGGAACTCTCTGGAATGAAAAATAGGATAGAAGTAGTTGTACTTGAAAATGAAAGGCTCCTGCAAGAAATGCAGTCTCAAAGACAAGAGGAGACAATGAGGGAACAAACATTTCTGGATGCATCTGTGAGCTTTTTTATAAACTATAATGGTGTTTTACTTTGAATATTATATTTCCTATCCTCTCCCCTAAACTTATGAGCACCTTAAAATCTCTGCTTAAAGTTTGGCTAAAGTACTAGGCTGGTATTTATTTAAAGCCTCAAAAATTAAAATTCATTGTGGTAGAAAGAATCCTCTGATGAAATGTAGGGTAACCATGCTGGAAATTCACTCTAGTTCCTCTCTGAGCATGCCGGTTACATTTTTTCCATATGGAAAGAGCAGGTCCAAAAGTAAGAATTGTGTGTCTAAGATGGACGTTGTCAAATGTAGAAATTGTTCAAAATTTTAGTTTGGATTTCTCTAGATTTTCCTTGTACTTTGAAGTCTAACAACATGGTGTGGCAGAAAGAACATTGGCCTGAGGGTCCAAGAATCATAATATTAATCTTACCATGTCCCTAAGAAACTGGATTGACAAGTAGTTTTATAGGACTTTGTATTGCTTAACCATATGGGTCCTGTATTTATTGGTAATTTGAGCACATTGAGGAATTGACAATACAGATTCCTCGGCTTCATTCCCCTGAGAGTCTGATTTAGTAAGTCTGGTTGAGTCCTGGGAACGTGAACTTCTATCAAATTGCCTACATGATTATAAGTGTCCCCCGCAGTTTGAAGAACAGTGGTCAGATTATTTCTATAATTCTGTGACACAAAATTCTTGTGATGATATTTAAACTGTGTGTAGTATCTTCTTATGATTTGTTAGAGATACTTTGGCCTTGAAATGTTTTTCATTGTTTGGCTGTGGGACATAGTTCAGTATGGTTTGTTCTGCTTTTTGAGACAAATTCAGCTTTCCATGGGGAAGTCCTAATACTTGCCTGTTGCAGCTTTACTTTACATTGAACTTCAGTGGTTTTGATTCAGTCATGATTATAAATCATTCAGTTAAGAAAACAGTTTTTAATTTTTTTAACCTCAATGTCCACTAATTTTTTGAAGATGCTTTTTCTAAACTGACCTGATATTTATAATCCTTGAGTTATATGTTAATTTGCTGTTGAGAAATATCTGATTGTGTTAATTCTGAAAAATGAAGTGAGCTGATTAGTATTTTAGTTTATTTTTCTGTGGCCGGCGCTGTGGCATAGTAGGTTAGTCCTCCGCCTGCGGTGCCGGCATCCCATGTGGGTACCAGTTCTAGTCCCGGCTGTTCCTCTTCCATTCCAGCTCTCTGCTATGGCCTGGGAAAGCAGTAGAAAATGGCCCAAGTGCTTTGGCCCCTGCACCCACGTGGGATACTGGGAGGGAGCTCCTGGCTTCAGATCGGTGCAGCTCCAGCAGTTGCGTCCATTTGGGGAGTGAACCAACGGAAGGAAGAGCTTTAAAAAATAAAAATTAAAAAAAAATAAAAAAGTTATTTTTCTGCAAATACATTTAAGTTGTGATCTGTTATTTTCTGCTTACCATGTAAGTTCTGTCTGAAGACTTACATAATTATTGGTATTAGTGTTTAAAAATCCATCTTAGTTGCTTATTATTTCAATATCAACTTGAAGATATCACCATATGGAAAGTATTTAGAAGTAGCTCATTAAAAAACTAATAAATTCTTTTGCTTTTCTTCCAGTTGTATAGTCACTTAACAAAGAATGATTCAGTTATTCATAGTCTTCAATATTTATGCAATAGCGAAGAAGGAGAAGGGGAAGTAAAGTGAGAAAGGAAATTAGGCAGACAAGTGAATCAGAGCAAGAGAAGTGAGTAATGCAAAAGAGGAAGGAAATGGTGGTCAAAGCTCACATGCTTCACAGTATGAGCAAAGGAAGTTTGCTACAGAAAACTAGTTATCATAGAAAGGACAAGAGTATAGTGAGGTTTTTTTATGCATTCACATGAGCTAAAATCTAATGCGAATATTGAAATAATTGTTACAGATATGTCAGTTGACCTTGACATTTATTTTAATGTTAGTCTTCGTCTTATTAGTTGTTATGAAGTAGTTACTCTTACTTTTCAATTGTAGGTGAATTGAGGCATTTCAACAATGCATACATGGTGTTATATTGAGAATTTAATGTGATTAAAGCTTTTTAGAATATCTTAAATATAAGTAGATCAATTGATCATCTTTTAAAGTAGGGAGGCTTTTTTAATGAGTCAGTTAAAGTGTTGAAGCCAAAGCTATTGACTGACTTGAACAAAGATTTTCAGTGTTTCATAATGCCCTCTTTCGAAAAATAATTGAAACAGTTACATTTTAATAAGTAACACTGATGACTGCATGGTTATAGTATGCTCAGCACTGTATCAAGCACTTTCTTAATCAGTAACTAGCCAAATATCACAGAGCAAAAAAAAAAAAAGGCAAAGCAAGGACTTAAACCCAGGATTGTCTGACTCTAAATCTATCTACCTAACCCCAAATTTAACTGCCCTTATACATAAATTAGGAAAAACTTGTCAATATTGAGCCAAGCTATTTTTGTTTGCAGGGGATAGAAACATTCCCCAGTAAAGAGAAAGAGCTTCCTTTTTATTGTCTCTTACTTTCAGCCCTGGACTTGGATGATAGCCTATAAGACTTTTATCTTTTGGCCTAGTTTATGACCTAGATGTTAGAAGCAAGCAGAGGATTCTTTTTGAAACTAAACCATTCAAAGTGTATTTCATTTGTGTCTTAATTTTTCATCACATTTTGTTATTGTGGGGAGCAATCCGGACTGGACTGAGTTACTGGAATTAAGACTTATTCTATGCATCTGCTCTCCCACAATATGGCGCTGGGAGAGAAGTAAACAGCTTCCGCACAGCTGCCTCCAGTTCAACTAATAAACTGTAGGACCTGCTCCTGATTGGAGGAGAGCAGCGTACTCGGCGTGTGGGCAGCCGAGTTAGGATTGGCGGAGGAGGACTATAAAGGAGGAGAGAGACGGCATGCACGAGGAACATCTAAGGGGAACATCTAGCTGAAGGAACACCTGTGCAGCCCCCCAGAGAGCCGGCCGGCGGTGTGCCGCTCCCCTGCGGAAGTGGGGAATGTGGCCAGGGGGAACTGCCCTTCCACGGAGGTGGAAGGGACGGTAGCCAACCCGGGAAGAACCAGCAGCAAACCCGGGGAGGGCCGAGCAGACCAAAGAACAACGCAGGGTCCTGTGTCGTTCCTCCACGAAGACGGGGAGCGACAGTTATTATAAAATTTCTCTTCATGGAAAGCTTTTCTCTAGGTTAAAATTTATAATAATATTAAGATGCACTAGTTGTCATAAATTTTGTCATGTATGCTCCAAGATCTAAGAAAAAATTTTTTTCTAAGCAGGAAATTTCTGAGCCATTTCTTTCCATGTTTGTTCTCATCCCTACCACTACCAACTTTCCCCTCAATTAAAGTAAATAAAAATTTTTCAGTGATCTTCAAGAACTTGATGCACTTAAATGTTTTAAAGTGTTGATTAAATACCATTCAAGATTTTAAAAGCTGACTGTGAAAGAACAGAGTGTCGATTAGACCAAGATTGGTCTTACTAATTTTTGTCCTCTGAGCTCTTAGCATTGTCAGATGCTATGCAAATGTTTGCCTTAAGCTGAACTTCAGAAAACTATGGAATAGAATCTCAGAATACTACTTAGGATGAATTCAGTTTACCACATTCTAGAATGATTGTGACACTCTAATATGATTCTGTGTTTGGAGACTGTCCTCCCTTGTGGGTACTATCATATTTGTCCTTATCAATAATTCAATATTTATTTGTTGAGTTAATATAGATATTTAGTTCTCATTGTATTATATAAATTACTCAGATTCTTAGCTGCTTATCCCATTGATAGTTTTTTTGAGAAAGCTTTTATTTAATAAATATAAATTTCATAGGCACAGCTATGAATATATATAGCAATTCTTCACCCCATAGCCGCCATCCCACCCCAACTCCCATTGCACCTCCTACTCTCTCTCCCATCCATTCTTCATTAAGATTCATTTTTAATTAATTTTATAGACAGAAGACCAACTCTATACTAAGTAAAGATTTCAACAATTTGCTCCCACACAGACACACAAAATATAAAGTACTGTTTGAAGACAAGTTTTACCATTAATTCTCATAGTACAACTCATTAAGAATAGAAGCCCTACATGGGGCGCAAGCACACAGCGACTCCTGTTGTTGATTTAACAGTTGACACTCTTATTTATGACATCAGTGATCACCTGAGGCTCTTGTCGTGAGCTTCCATGGCTATGGAAACCTTTTGAGTCTACAAACTTGGTCAGTAGTTAGAGAGGCCATAGTCAAAGTGGAAGTTCTCTCCTCCTTTCAGAGAAAGGTACCTCCTTCTTTGATAGCCCATTCTTTCTGCTGGGATCTCACTCACAGAGAGCTTTCATTTAGGTTTTGTTTTTTTTTGTTTTTGTTTTTGTTTTGTTTTGTTTTGTTTTTTTGCCACAGTGTCTTGACTTTCCATGCCTGAATTACTTTCATGGGCTTTTTAGCCGGATTTGAATGCCTTAAGGGCTGATTCTGAGGCCAGAATGTTGTTTAGGTTGTTTGTCATTCTATGAGTCTGCTGTGTGGCCAGGTTGGATAATTCTTCTTATATACTCAATTGTCACAGATCAGGGAGAACATATGATGTTTGTCCCTTTGGGACTGTCTTATTTCACTAAGTATGATGTTTTCCAGGTTCATTTATTTTGATGCAAATGACTAGATTTCATTTTTTTTATCGCTGTGTAGTATTCCATAGAGTACATATCCCATAATTTCTTTATCCAACCTTCCATTGATGGGCATTTAGATTGATTCCATGCCTAAGCTATTGTGAATTGAGCTGTAATAAACATGGAAGTGCAGATGGCTCTTTTATTTGTCAATATAATTTCCCTTGGGTAAATTCTAAGGAGTGGGATGGCTGGGTCATATGGTAGGACTATATTCAGATTTCTGAGGTATCTTCAAACTGTCTTCCATAGTGGCTTTATAAGTTTGCATTCCCACCAACAGTAGATTAGGGTA